TATTTGCCTCCTGACGTAAACGCTTACGTCATTCCTGGATAGGTTCAAATTCTCCTTGTGATTCTGGATTGCATAATTCACAAATGTGATCTTCTGCGAATTCCTTCTGTAGCCTGATACAAATCTCTTTCTTAACTATTTCTGGAATTTCAAATTGTATTTTTATAAGTGTATCCAGATATTTGTTAAGTAACTTGTTATCTAGCTCTGTTGGCTCTCGTGCTTGCATGCTCCAGATAATAATGGACTTGGCTGCATAATTAATCCTTCCCTTGATTTTAATGCCTTTATTTAAGATTATGACATAATTATTTAGAAACTGAACTAATTCGTCCTCATGTTGTGCTTGGCCGATGTCTGGATAATTTCCATTGCTTATTCCAATTTGACAAAACTGGATTGCTGGTTGTATTACTTCCTGTGAGCTTTCCCCCTCACCAAAAATTGGTGTGGTGGCAAATATTTTCACGAATCCTTCCTTTTTTCCAAGAACGTACTTGCAGTATTGAGAAACTGCTTTCTTGATGTTGATCGGGAAGTATTGGAATATATTTGTATCTCTGAAATAAATACAACTTAGTAATCCTGATTGGAACATCATGTATACCTTCATCGGATCTGCTTCTGGTAGAGCTATTGCTTTTGGTCCAAGATATAGACCGTCAGTTGGATAAATGCTTGTCTGCTTATCTTCATCTGTATAATTAACCACAAACTTGAATTCATGGTCAAAAATATTTTTGGTCAGCTTGGTCATCTCTTCTTTTTGTTGTTTGGACTGTATGCTTCCAATCGTTAGTGGTCTGATACTTGGGATCTTGCCTAATATAGGCATTTGCTTCTGTGCTGCTGTAGCCGGTGATTGTGCTTTTCCCGCATAGCTTGTTTTGAACTGTGCTAGCGCTTCTTTTGCTTCGAACAGGCTAGAAAATTTTTTATGTATAACATTCTGTCCTGTTATAAACATGGCTGCTTGGCTCCATTGGGAAAATATCCCTTGATTAGGGCCTGTAAATATCACATAATGGTTCTTTGTTCTTTCTTCCTCATCAAAATGAGGTCTTTCTTTTTCTTCATTTATTTCTTTTTCTTTTGATGTTTCTGCATTTTCATTTTTCTTTTCTTCTTTGCCTTTTTCTTCAAATAGTATGGCTTTTATTTTGCTGATTTCTTTTTCTTTTTTCTTTATCTGCTCAAAGAGCTCTTCTACCTGCTTTTCCAGCATTTTTATACTATCTTCTAGGACTGGTTTGAGTGCTTCCATTCCCGGGTTAATGTATCTGCTAAATAGTTTTCTTTTCCTGAAATATATACAGATATGTAATCAAATTGTTGTGCTTTCAAACTCCATCTTAAAAGTCTACCTTTATTGTAAGATTCTTTTATTCGATATTTTGTAAAATCTTTTGTATACAAACTATCTGTTTGAAAAATAAATTTAACTGGTTGTAAATCAAGTTTAAATTTTTCCAAAGCATTTATAAAAGCTAATGTTTCTTTTTCATGTGTTGTATAATTGCGTTCTGCTTGCTTAAACGTTCCTGATACCCATTTGGATAACAGTAATTGCTTTCCATTGGTTTTTCCCAATACTAATTGCATGGAATCATTAGATTCGCTATTTTCATCCAAACTATCTTTAGTCATCCTTCGTATAAAGGATTTAACTTCAGATGGTTTGTTGTTTGCGATAAACTTATTAAACTCTTCATATGCATCTGGGATTGCTTGAAGGACTGCTCCCCAAGTATCCTGACTTGCATCAGTGTTTAAAATAAGTAAATCACTAGGTTTTGGTAGGTAAAGCCGTGGTAATTGAGTACATAGTCTTTTTAAGGACTGTACTGCTCTAGTTGCATTGTCTGTCCATTTCCATGGTACTTTTTCTGAAATCATTTTTTGTAGTAACTCTCTTTCTTTTGCAAGACTTTTTATGAAACCCTTTTCTCCAATATATGTTAAACATCCAAGGAATTTTTGAATTTGATTTCTGTTTTGAAGCTGATCTGGAAACTGATGTATTTTTTCAAGTAAATGTTTTTGAGGTTCAATATAGCCTCCCTCGACTATTTTCATTCCCAAAAATTCTGTTTCTCTTTTGCAAATTTTTGCTTTTTCCTTACTTAAAATAATTCCTTTATTACCTAACTGTAATAAAACTTTTGCAAGTTCTTTTAAATGATCTTCTTTTGATCCTTGTGTAAAAACAATTATATCATCTATATAAGCAAGACTTATTGACTCTAATCCTTTAAGATTATTATCCATAAATCGCTGATATATACTAGGTGCTTGTTTTAGTCCAAATGGCATTACATTATATTCGTAATGGTTTTGAGGTGGACAACTAAATGCTGTTAAGGGTTTAGTTTCTTCATGTAACCTTAATTGCCAATATCCTGATTTAGCATCTAATGTACTATACCAATTTGCCTTTTTAATTCGACTAAAAATATAATCTTGTCTTGGCAACTTATATGCATCTCCTTTAGTGGCTTTATTCATTTCTTTGTAATTTATAACCATTCTTCGTTTTCCTCTTTTTAATTCATTATGGTTTTCTACGTAAAATGCTGGTGCACTATGTGGGCTTTTACTAGGTTGTATAATACCATTTTCTAACATCTTAGTAGTTTCTTCTTGAAATTCTTTAACATCTCTTTCTGTATATGGTATTCTATTTGGCACATTGACTTCTTTGCTAGGATCTATAAGTTCTATTTTTACTATCATATTATTCGTATTTTTATTTGGATCTAATGGATTTTGACTACATATGTTTTCTAAAAGTTGATTAACATGTTCTTCTAGTGTTATACTTATTACTTTATGAATTTGAAATGAAACTTTTCTTAATATCTCCCCCCTTATGAAAGAAGATGTATTATATATTTTTGTAGTAATTATTTTACTAGACTGTGTATCTAGTTGTGGACATCTAAGACTTATAGTATTTAGTCTTTGAATAAATGGACTATATAACTTAAGAAAGTTATTTCCAATTATTAATGGTAATCCTGTATTCTGTTTATAAAGACTCGGTAAAGGAAACCGTTTTTCCTCTATTAACAAGACTAAGTCTGTTGCTCTATAATCAATACTTATTGTTTTATTATTTGCAATTCTTACTATAATTGGTTTATCTAATTTCTTCCAATATTTATTAGGTAATATAGATTCTTTTGCTAAACATATTGTTGCTCCTGTATCTATATATGCTAGTAGAAATTTATTAAATAATTTAACTTTTATGAATGAACTGTTTTTACTCATCTTCTGATTCAGATGTTTCTGAATTACTATCTGTTTCTGATTCTAAATCATATATATCAAAGTCTAATAGTTCTCCTTCTTCGTATTCTTCTTCTATAGGTTCATAACCTAAAGAAAATATCATTTTTAATTTCTTTTCTTTCTCTGGCATATTTTTAGGACATTCATTTGCATAGTGCCCTATTTCTTGACATTTCCAACATCTACAATTCTTTTTACCTTTAGGACAATATTTAGGTTTTCCTAAGTATTTTTCTTGTTTTCTAAACTTTCCTTTATATTTTGTTTTCCACGGTTTTCTAAATGTCTTATATCTTCTTGGTCTATATCGTCTATTAAACTTATTGTATCTATAATATTTTTTCTTTTTGTATGGGTTATAACAACCAAATTCCTGCGGTACACTTTCTAATTGTTTGCAACATCTTGAATCGATTTTTGTCATTTCATGGTGTTCTATTTTTCTTATACAAAGTTCATCTCTATATTCTTTTGCATATTTTTCTAAAATTCCTAGAGTTTTTTCTTCTTTTGTTTCACTAATTTTCTTCTGTATGTATTTATTCATTTCATTTTTAAGCTTACTTTCAACTATTTCTATTAGTCCTGATCGATCTTTAATTTTATAGAAATTCTCTCTTACTTGACAGAAAAAATTTTCTATGTAACATATATTACATAGCTTCATATTTGTTAAAAATCTAACAACCTTTTCTTTTTGTGTTTCTTTTGATTCTTGTCCTGTAATTCCTAAAAATTCTTTCAATAAATCTTTTGCTAATTCTTTTAAGGCTGATATTTTATATTCTGCTCCTGTTTCTGAACCACTGGCTTCAAGATTTAATAAAATTTGAGTATTTTCTAGATAATCAAATAATACTCCAGATGTTTTATATCTTATATAATTAGCAAAGTCGATTAATGTCATTCCATTTATCATTGAGTCATTAGTTTGAACTAATAATTTTAATTGATTAGTCCAGGTAACTATTAAATCTTCTGCATTAGTTGCACAATCTATATTTAATATTCCATTAGATAAATTTCTTTCTTTTTCTAAATATGCTGGTGGAATATTTTTCTTTATTCTTTCTTGATGATAACTATAATCATTTCTATATATAAAATCTCTAAAACTACTTTCTACATAATTATTATGTGAAGTAGATGCTTCATTATTATTTGTTCTAGGTCGTTTTGGTGATAGTGGCGGTGTTGCATAAGGTTTTTGATCAGTCATATTAAATGTTGGCTCATCTTCATTTTCACTGTCTATTCCATAAATTATTCCTTGTTTATCCTCATCATCTATTTTTGCCATTCTAGTTTCTTCAATATTGCATTTTTCTAGTAACTGAGTTAACCTATCTATATTATCCATTAGAACTTGTTGGTGGTTCTATCTGAATAGGCTTATATACTTTTTTCCGTGTTTTTTCTTTTTGTACTAAATCTTGTAGTTCTCTTATTGTTTCTTTTATTTCGTTTAATTTTTCAAATGTTTCTAATTGGTTCTTTTTTACTATTTCTATAAGTGTTTCTATTTGTTCCGAGACTTTTGGTGGATTACTCATGATACCATATTTTTTCTAATATTTATTTTATTAGGTTTGTTAGTATTTTTAGATGAACCTTTTTATTTTAATTTTGTCCATAGCAATATTGAGTGTGTAAGTAGCAAATGTATTGCCACATGTCATTCTTTGATTTGTTAATACAAGAAATGGGTGCCACCCGCGTGGGTGGCATGAACTAATTCCTCATTAACCCAACGCCTCATTTCTCCCTATCCCAAGAAAACAGACCTTAGTCGGCGACAGACCTCTTAAACCCTCGCCTGTGCATCTGAGGCGAACCTTCATTTCCTCGGTGCCAAAAGAAGGTAATACTTATGGTGCAAATGCTGTTATCTCTCGATTGTGGACTGATTTATCATCATCGATTAACTTTTCTCACTAGGGTTTTCAGTGTATTTATCAGATCTATGTTTCACTTAGCTGTTTTGAGTTTCTTGGCTTGTTGCGGATGCTGAGTTAAAGTTTCATAGCTTCGATCTGCAATATGTTTGAATGATTTTGAATTTGTGTGTTTGTTTGTGTTTGTGTTTGTGTTCGTGTTTGTGTTATTGTCTTTATATTTGGAAAAAAAGAAAATCTCAAAGGTGTATATACTATATAGGAAGTATTCTTTGTACTCGATGGATTCAAATTGAATCACATTTTGTATTATGATTTGGTTTTGACAGAAAATGTCTGTTATCTTAATGTTCAAATTGGCCTGATGTGCATTTACCCTTTAATTATTTTGTTGTGGTTGTAAAGGACGACATTAAATTGTAAAATGCAGTGTTGTATATTTTTATGGAACCATTTCAAAAATTTCCTTCACTGAACTAAGTGAATCACACTCTTAAGAGTTAAGAAGTCTTTGAATTTGCATTTCGATCAAAGAGAACAGTTTGGCTCAAATGCTGCTATCACTGGATTCCTTACGACTTTATCAATGTAGAAGCTTGAGTTGGTAAGTCCCTCTCACAAATTTCATCCTTTTAAGTCAGCTTATTATATGAAAGGGTCATGTCCGTTAATCTGATTGTGTTTTGATTGGGAGTCTGTTTGGTTGCGTTCATTTTACCTTGTTCATATGTGTGTCAGTGTGCTGTGAATTAGGGGGTGACAAGGAATGGCATGACACGAACCACAAACACGGCACGGCACGATTAGGAAACACAATTATAGGGACAAATGAATCACAAATATAGCATGGCGGTTTGGAAGAAATCCGCCACGCCATACTGCCATTTGATAGTACTAAGCACGATTTTGCCACCCATATGTAATCCAGCCCGGAAATGGGTTATTTTAATGGTGAAATAATCAATAATATCTATTGCCGTAGGCAATTGAAAATAGTTCAAAAGGCGCCTGCTTTAGCGTGAAAGTTAAAGGATATGGAAAGCTAACCTGAAAATTTCAGTGAGTGAAATTGATGGAATAATGTAAGAGGAGATGGTTGCCTTTGCAGTTTCTTTTCCAATTTGATGGCCAGTTACTGTCTGTTGTGCGTGCCAGACTGCCACTTTGTAGAACTCATGGCTTTTCTACTTTTCTAGTGCTTTTGGAAACTCAGACCGTTTTAGTATTTGACTCCGTTCAAAGTTCTATTTTGGACTTGTAGTCAAAGGATGAAAAGGCCCCATTGAAATATTGGGATATTGACTCTCCCAAAGCTTGTTAATACATAACTTAACAGTTGGCACTTGACACGATGAACATGAGTCTCAATGTTTTGTTTCTAAGTACAGATATCTTATCATTGTGTTTGATGGTATATGCATTGTGTGGCCTGTTGATGACAGGCGGATTTCTGTGTCAGGTCAAAATGTGACTCACGCAACCATCTTTTCTTTTTTCATATTCTCATCATTATCCTTCTGTTTGAAGTGTAGAATTTACTTCAGCGGTTCATGGCAGCAAGATTACAACAACTGAAGGGCAAGGCTTGCCAAGCAACAAAATATGTGGCCAAGCATGGAACTGAATATTACAAGCAGTTGATGGAGCAGAATAAGCAATATGTTAAAGAGCCACCCACCGTGGAGACGTGCAATGAATTAGCCAAGCAGCTTCTTTATACTCGTCTTGCCAGGTTATTTTTTGGAAATTAGAACTCGTATGGTATCTTTGAAAATTCGGGAATGCCAGTTTACTATTTGTAGACTTCAGTGTGGTGTAGTTCAGAAAGTTTGTGTAAATTCATTAGTTTATATATGGTGCCATTATCATTCTTATCATGATAAATGAACTATACAGATCTAGTTGTTGAATGTGTCAGACATATGGGTTAAGCTTTGAAATGGTAAATTGCGTGGTTGGAAAGGAGTGGGACTAACTTTTTTAGGGTTCTTTTGTTTATCCATAAGTTCAGTTTCTAAAAGCTTCTTATGTTGAAGGATTTGGGTCTATGGGCTCCAAGTTTAGAATTGTGTAAATCTCTGTTACCCGCCACTTCTGAAAGGGATATTTTTGGCTTGTTTTGCATAGGACCTTGAATAAGTAGCATATTAATCATATAATTGTGTGGCAAATTGTAATGATGTCGAGCTAATTACTTGAGGTAGATGAATAGTCTATTGTAACGATTATCAATGTATTCAGTGACTATTTCCATCTCATTAAAACTACTGCCAATCAGCACAATCTCTATTAGCTCACCTGTCATAGATTCTTGTAATTTTTTTACCTACCTAAAAAGCCACATCAGTCATTTACATGGTGGGGAGGTAGATGACTAGTCTATTGTAACGATTATCAATGTATTCAGTGACTATTTCCATCTCATTAAAACTACTGCCAATCAGCACAATCTCTGTTAGCTCACCTGTCATAGATTCTTGTAATTTTCTTACCTACCTAAAAAGCCACATCAGTCATTTACATGGTGTTCCTAATCATCTGATGCATCTAAGATACCATGGCAAAGGAGATTTATTTTTCTTTCTTTTTCTTTTTGCAATATGCTTACTGTATCACTGAGTTGTTAAAACCATAGGCCCTGAATTCTAACGACACAAAATATGCATCATTTTATTGGCAAGATACCTATATCATGTGCACCAAATTATTTCGGGTTAGAAAATCTCTGTCGAAAATCGATTTTACGGTATAGACGCTTATGACCTGCCCCTCTATTTTAATTAATTTTTTTTACTCCCACTGCAGCATCCCGGGACGAACAGAGTCGTTCTGGAAGGAAATTGATTACATGAAGAATATGTGGAAGAACAGGCATGAGCTGAAGGTCGAGGATGCCGGCATTGCTGCTTTATTCGGGCTCGAGTGCTTTGCATGGTTCTGTGCTGGTGAGATTGTTGGAAGAGGGTTCACTTTTACCGGTTATTACCCTTGAAAACCAACTGGCCCATAATAATTGCTGCCCTATTGGATTACAATGGTAATCATCGTGCGAGACTCTAGTGTTCGTCCTTTAGGTGCAAGTTTTTGTTTTGATTCAGAAGCTTTCAAAGCTGAGAAATCGGTGGAATACTAAAATTGATGCCTGAATAATTAGTGATTGATATTTGAATTTCCTCTCTGAAGCGGCCTTTTTATTGTTTATTTTTAACCTTCATAAATTTCGCTGTCGCTGTAAGGAAAAAAAAAGTTTGGGAGTTAGCTTCTTGATTGCCAATGAGACCTACCTAAGCCGCCATTTATATGTTTTACCGACAGATGATACCCAAAGTATCAGTTGATCTTTCAGGTATTGTGCTGATAATAAGTGCATTTGTTTGAGTACCTTTGGCTGCAATTGCTTGATTCTGAACACACTTTTTATAGCTTTAGTTATCTTGTGACCGTCAGTTATTTACTCCTATCCGAAACAGGGGTTGAGAATTGGCATTTTTTGTTTGGAGTTTGGATCGTTTAGTAAACGAGTTGAGCTGTCGAGTTTGGCTTGTTAACTAAACGATCCATGAGCTCGAGCTCGGCTCGTTTATCAAAATTAATGAGTGAAGGTTGAGCTTTTAAGGAGCTGAATTATAAATTTTGAAGTCGTAACTGTTCGAGTTGAGCTTAGCTCGTTAACTAATTTTGTTTATCAACTTAGACGAGTCGAAGTCGAACCTTGATTAGTCGAATTCACGAGCAACTTGTTTTGTGGTGTAGATTAGTATCTATTATTATTATTATTATTATTATCCTTATTCCTTATTTATCTTATTGAGTTGGTTAGGAGAATCTTTATTTTGATTAGAAGAATATTTATTTCTTGTTTATCAAGTTAGGAGATTTAGGAGAATTGGAACTCTATTTATTCTCATGGTGGAAGGAAACGATGGAGTGAATGTTTTCGAGAGAAATAAATTTGTTCTTGCGTGTTTTTTATCACGAGAGTGATCTCTTTATTCCCTTTCGTCATTCACGTCCTACATCAGTTGGTATCAGAAGTCAGCATGATTCAAGATGCCACCACGGAAGGACGACATCGACGGGCGTGACGCCACAATTGAGTATCCGGGTTGACAAGCCATGAGCTTCGGCCACCAGATCAATCAATTGGATCGTCGGGTTGAGAATCTTTCGTTGGGGATCGAAGAAGTGTGTCTTACGATCAACAACATGGTTGAGGATTTGCAGACGAACCGTGACGTCGGCAACCGGGGCATGCGTGGGGGAGTTCACGGAGGACGTGGAGGTCGTGGTCCAGGCGGGGCGCCCCGTCGGAGATCTCCACAACCACCGTCCGGCGATGAAGACGGTGAGGAGACAATCTCGGAGATGAATCCTTTCGGCGATTATCCACCCCTGCACGTCGAGACTGATCCCTTCGCTGCATACAACGGTCGTGACAGGCGACGACAGGGCTCGGTCTTCGTGGACGGCGACGATCAACGCGACGACAGAGGCAGGCTCGAGGAGGTTGCCCTCGCCGGCGGATATCGTGCCCGACGCAATTGAGAATGTGATCGAGAATATGGTCGATGGGAGGGCCTGTTTCACGTTGACATCCCCGAATTTGACGAAGAGCAAGTTGACGGGCCATTGTACGATGGTCCACCGGTGTTTGATGAAGGACCCGAGGAGGTGGAGGAGCGTCTTACCGGTGAAGTGGACGGTCTCTACGACGGTCCGCCAATTTTTGATGAGAAGCCTCCGGGGCCGGAGGAATTCCATCATGTTCTGGGTATCGAAATTCAGCTGTTGGAAGAATTGGTAGTTCTTCTGTTGCGCAGGCCCGAGCTTTTCTCTGACGAGAATTTGTTGCGGCCTTGCAAATAGATGTTTTTTGGTCCCCACGGTGACTTCAAAATTTTGTGTGCGTGACATTCAACCTTCGTGTTCGACAGGGAAAAACGATGCGGATTAATACCATGGTTCGCCTCCACACACCAGCCACGGGAGCCCGTCGGCTTTGAGGGCGAAGCCTTCCGAACCGGGGGAGAATGGTGTAGATTATTATTATTATTATTATTATTATTATTATTATTATTATTATTATTATTATTATTATTATTATTCTTTATTTATCTTATTGAGTTGGTTAGGAGAATCTTTATTTTGATTAGAAGAATATTTATTTCTTGTTTATCAAGTTAGGAGATTTAGGAAACTTAGAACTCTATTTATTCTCATGGTGGAAAGAAACGATGGAGTGAATGTTTTTGAGAGAAATAAATCTGTTCTTGCGTGTTTTACCAAGAGAGTGATCTCTTTATTCCCTTTCGTCATTCACGTCCTACATCATTTTGTATAATAGTTCGTTGCCTTGGTATTTTGTCAAATTTGCCTCGGTTAATAAAAAAGAACTTAAGCTACCATATCCTTGGAAAACCTGGACTATCAACCCTGACATCTTTTCTTTGTAGTAACAGAGATTGGCCTCGTGTTTCTCTGTTATGTTGTAACATTTATGAAAACAGCAACAATTATGAAAACTCACCTATAATTACTTGGCCTACTAATTTATTCAAAGGCGCTCTTTTTATATATTTGGTTCATATTGTACCAATTACTGCTTTCCCAAAAATCTTCATTTAAGTGTCTCTATTCAGACGCAGAGTAAATGCTATTACTTGGCAATAGAAAGTACCAAAAATTGTTAGTTTGCTGATGGAGAAGATTCATTCTCTTGTGGTCCTCACAAAAATGCCCATGGCCCTTNAGAAAACAAAGAAAAATAAAAGCCACCATAGAAGTGAACCGAGCTCGAGTAGTTTGATCTTCTGCACACACTTTATCGCTTTCATTATTTCGTTTTTCACTTTTGTAGCCGAGCGAACGGACACGACTTATCAATAAAAATTGAGTTCATCAATCACAGTTTTCTACAACTAGTATGTACCCGTGCGATGCACGGTGGGTGCATAACTTAAAACATATCCAAGTACTTATTTTAAATGTAATTAATTAAATTTAACATCTAATTATAGAAACAAAAAATAAACAAAAAAGAAATCATATATTATTAAAAACTTTTCTGTACACAACATTATTTGTTTGATTTGGGGGCAAATCATGTTCACCACATATTAGAATTTTTAAACCCTTTCTGTTGGTGATGCGCGAAACAGCAACATATAACTGGCCGTGACTGAAAACTGGTTTCTTCAAGAATAAACCAACGTGGGATAAGGATTGACCCTGACTCTTGTTAATAGTCATTGCATAAGAGACCACGATAGGGAATTGCCTTCGTTGAAACTTAAAAGGTACTCTTGCATCGGAAGGAGTTATCGTCATTCAAGGTATCAACACTTTATCTCCTGCAATCGCCCGTAAGTATCCTACATTCTAGGACATGATTGGAGAGTCTTGTTACAACCAAACGTGTCCCGTTGCACAATCCCATAGAATGATCCATGTTCCGCAACAGCATAACCGGAGTTCCCACCTTCATATGCAACTCATGATTTGGTGTACCAGAACACTTGAGAGAATTTAAGAAGTTAGGAGTGTGGATTTCTGACAAGAAGTCAGAACTCAAATCGGATTTACACGTACTGTCGGAGCTCAAATATACACGACCTTCTGTTAGATTCAACGACGACATGTATTGGTTGATAGACTCAACAATCTCCAACGTAGGTGCAAGTATGGCTCTGTCCTTCAGATAACTTGGATCATCTGTTGCGTTCTTGAACATTGGATACGTGCTCTCAACAATTGCAGCAATGGGGTCATCAGATGGGTCTACTAATAGATCATCTGGTATTTCAATGGAGGCACAACCATCGTTAACACCTCCAATAGTACCATCTCCGATGCTAGCAATCCAATCAGCAAATTTAGAAAGCTCCTCACGTTCATGCGAATCATCAAGGCTCTGAAGACGCATCTTCTTCGTTAGCCTAAGCACGGTACAATCTTGCCAAATGGTTGAAGCATTTATCAAAGCATTAACAATTTGTTGACGGTTCCCCTTTGAAATCACCGGGAGGATTTGTCGAAAATCTTCACCAAAAACAACAGTCTTGCCACCAAACGGTTTATAATGGTTCATCGGGTTGACCGTTCCCATGATCGCCTGAAATGACGTTTGAACAGCTTCGAAGCAATGTTTATGCATCATTGGAGCTTCGTCCCATATGATGAGGGAGGACCATATAATTAGCTCTGCCAGAGGGCTAGCCTGGTTGATATCATAGGACGCATTTTCGTGAAGATTAATAGGTATGCCAAAGCGAGAGTGTGCAGTTCTTCCACCAGGCAACAGAAGAGAAGCTATTCCACTCGATGCAACACAAAGGACGATCTGACCCTTCGATCGCAATCCCGCAGCTACTGTCCCCCACAAGTACGTCTTACCGGTTCTGCTATAACCGTAGACAAAGAAAATACCGCCCTGACCTGAGTCTGCCGCTGCCATAATTCTTGAATAAACTCCTTTTTGTTCGTCAATCATATTTCTAAGAAGATTACTGTGCTCGACGGATAAGGCCTTGCGGTCATAATTTAGCTCATCCAAAATCAATCGATTTGTACTCGTAGTAACACCGGTCATATCAGGAAAAGGCATTGTTGGATATTCCCGAAGACTCGTGCCGCGACGTCTCAACAAATGTTCAATTTCAGCGAGAGCTAAATTTTTTATATCTGCATCACTCAGCTGCAAACCTAAGAAGGAAAACAATTCAAAGTCAGAATTACAAAAAATCGACTACAGTACTTAAAAAAGAAATAAAAATTAATAAAATAAACAATAAAACATAAATAAAAAATAAGTCACATACTTTCATTATTGAAGAGAAGACGTTGTCTATAAACGATGTCATCAGAGAGAAAATCCAAACACTGTTCCAATACGTGCTCGGGTCTACCTAACGATCCAGAAACCAACAACGTTGCAAACATGCGTCTGACAGAATCAGCAGATGCCCATTGACTTGCCTCAGATATTCCATCAACGTACTCACGATCGTCACCCAACAAACCTAGAGCGTGGCAAGCATCACGATACGACAAATATTGAACGTTGGCTACCTTCATATAATCCTCGTGGCAAGTTGCTCCACGGATTACATTAAGCAAGCACCTCAAATAGAAATTATCGCCCGCGTTAGGAGGAACATAGCGCAGGCGGGCAATAGCGCCATCTCTAATTCGAGGGGTCCACTCTCTTAACGTCGAGTTCCAAACAAATTTCCTTGGTGCCTCAACATATGCGAGCTCCCTCGCCTGAGGATACTTCTTGTTCGCTTCCATCCATGCCAAAAATTGACTCTCATTTACAGTGGGTTTTCGAATAACCTCATCAATTCGATCTTCATCCTCAAAAATAACGTACTGTTCGCCTTTCAAATGGAAACTCAAACGTTGTACAGGAGGTTTTTTGTACCAAAGTTCATAACCCAACAACCTCTAAGCCGCCTCACATGAAGAAACATATCTACAGTCGTAGAACATGTTAATCTCGTCAACAGGCTT